AGCATATCTAAACTATCATTAAAAAAACACTAAAAAAATTAATTTTAAGAGAAAAAATCATTTTTTTTGAAAAGCAAGCAAACAGGGTCTTAATCCAATTCTAACTCGTACTTGTAATAATCAACTCTGCGCATGAAGAAACGGATTATCTCCCAAATTACACAAATAATTTTCTGAAATTCAATTTTCAACATCATGGAAATAAAGAACACGCATTTCCATAGACTATTGGAGAGAGACGTGCCATTGAGAAACCGAGAAGGGCCACGAATATAGCAACATTTGTTTATGTTTCCCTAAATCACTTGTAGATAACGAATGAAATCTAAGTATACTTGTGTCAATAAATCCAATTTGTATAAATAATAAAAAAGTGAAGGAGGAGGCATACGCGAGTGTGTTCACCCTGAGGAGAGTAGCGAGTCAGAATGTCACTCAGGAAGTGGACTTTACGATCACGCGGCAAATTGAGCATGTTAGGTGGCAAGTACCGCTCTAGAGAGCTAAAGAGGAGAGGACTGTAATCCAATTGCATGTCCTCGTAGCTCTCCGGGTTGTGCTCCTTGTTCTCGAACGGTATCAGCCTTTGCGTTGACGGCAATTCGACGCCGTTCCCATTCTCCCTCGCTTTTTCAGTCGCGTCATCTGTAGACATTTTTCAAACAATAAATATATGCATATAAATCCGTTTTGAGAGAGGAATTAGGGTTTGTGGATGTTGAAGGGGGTGGTTTGTGCTGCAGGTTGCGGTTTGTATTTTTTTTGTTGGTTGTTGTGGTCGTCGTCTACCTCCTCCTCCTCCTCCTGGATGACGTTGACGATGGTTGGGGAATCAGTTCTGCCCGGGCCCACCTTCCAGTTTGGCCCGGAAACTTAAAAATGAAAGAATTTCGATCTGAGTGAGAAGGAACGAGCAAGTGCAGGTTTTGTTTGGGGTTTTGGATAGCGCTCCAGTAAAGACTGAGGGGCCCGATTGTGACTCTCAGTGGCGAAAAAATCACTTGGGAGTCCCTTCACAGTTACCGTTTAGTCAAATCAATACTTCCACGCATAATCTGATCGTGCTTGACCGTCTACTGTCACTGGTGAGTTATGTGATCGAACCTTGTGGGTGACTAGCTTGATAGACTTGACAATAATAGGTTATTTGTAAATATATCACTCTTTTAGGGTTGAAGTGGTACGTGACACTCTTCGAACTAACCTATTTTTTTAAATATAAAAATGATATCAAGACAATGTAAATATTATAGAAAGAAGAGAAAGAAAATGAGATCATGGTCATTAATTTGAAAGTGTTTAATAAGCTCTGCTCATTTAATAATATAATTAGAAAATAACATATTGATAATAAATAAAGTGAAAAATATAATAAAGATTTGATGTTAATATTATAAAACCATATCTTTATAATATTTATAAAATATCTTGGTAATCTTATTTATTAATAAAATAAAAAATAATTGAAAACAAGATAACTACATAAAAAGAAAAGGAAAAAAAATATTAATTCCAAATGAATAAAATAATAATAATAAAATTAAAAAAATAATTTTAAAAAATAATTACAGTTCGAGTCATCACATAAGTGAGTTATTAAAAAATAAATCAAAGGAACCAAGCAAGATAATTTTTTATCATTCAACTTGGATGAAAAATCAAATTAAATCTATAACCTACTAGTGGGATTAGAATAACTCTGTGAAAATCATACTTAATAAAATTATGAAGTTTAGCCTTCTTATTAGCCTAATATTAAAAGAAAAATGTTGAAAAAATATTAAAAAAATAAAAAGGGTTTAAGTCAGCCCCATTGAACCTGTTAAATTCATGACCGAAGTTATAATATTAAAATAACTTCATACACTAAAAAGTTTTTTTTAAAAAAAAATATTAATTTCCAATGAAATCAGTAATAAAATATTAAATTAAAAATGTTAATTTTTTAAAAAATAATGTCAAATTCCCGACCAACCAAAATAAACAAGGATAAATTTGAAATAAATTCAATAAAACAAGATCAAAAACATAAAATATAGATTTGAAAACAATTAAAATTAAATTTAACACAAAAATAAAATAAAAATATATCATAATAGATAAAATTACTATGGATTAAAGCATCAAGAGCAAGCATAAAAAAATAATAATCTAAAGTTCTCAGCTACCAAAATAACTAAGATAATCAAGAATGGATTTCGAAAAGGCAAATTTAACAAAAATAACTCTAAAAAATAAATCTAAAGATAATAATAATTAAATTGGATCAAAAAATAAAATAAGATAAAATTATAATAGATAAAATTAAAAAATAATTTTAATTAAAAAATATTAAAGATAACAATAAAAAAATATTAATTAAATATTAAATAATGAAATTAAAAAAAAAAACAGAGTTTATTTTACCGTGCAAATTCATGATAAAGTACGAATGTATAAATAGTGAAATGCCGGGCCCTCCTAATTGTTTTTTTTTTTTTTCCTTTGTAGTTGTGATGATATGTAAAGAGTTTAGCTTTGACCATACATCACAGGAAAAAGTATAGTAGATATTTTTATGGAATTTTCTTTCGAGCTAGTGTACCTTAGATTGATTGTCCATAAATTCCCTGAACACTCGATTTTAATCTTTACGGGCACCATAAAATTGAGAATTTTAGGCAATTTGTGGATTTGCTAGGGTTGCTCAACTTGGATTTTAAAGGGTTCTCTTTTACCTGGTATAATAGGCGGAGAGGGGGTGGTCATGTTCCAGAAAGGCTCGATAGGTATCTCAAATTCTTCCATTTTTTATACTATAATATATATTATAAAGCTAAGATGAGGTGGGGTGTTGCACTTTTTCCCCGCACCGAGACACCGCATAGTTTTTACCTCTCCTTTTCTTTGTGGGTGTTAATTTTTTTATTTAATATAGTCTTTATATAATGTATTTATAAAAATTTAGAGTTATTAACTTATTTTAGTTTATTTTTACATGGTTATTGTGGTATCAAAATAATATTTTAGTATCAGATTGAAATTAAAAAAATATTTTAAAAAAATTAATTAAATAAAAAATATTTTTTAAAAAAAAAACTATGTCATTAAACTTTGTAAAGCAATAACTTAATTTGTGAATTTAATGAGATAACTTTAACTATCCCGATTTGCGGTTTAGCAAGATTTTATATATATATATATATATATATATAATTAAACTTGATTTGTAATCGTTTATTTTTTTTTCTATCATCCAGGACTAGTCGATAATTAAATTTTATAATCAATTTTGTTTTGATTTATATGAGATTATCGTAATCTTGAAAAATATTTTAATATTGGTTTGATACTTAGTTTTGCAAACATGTGTTCTTGTTATCATATAACTAGATAGATAATAGTTTAGAAGAACAACAATAAATTATTAATCTCAATGAAATACATTACTCTATTTGCGAATTAAAAATATTGACTCAAGTTACTTTATTTACTAGTTTAACAGTTTATCCATCATACTAATATGTATATATACATATATAGTTTTTAGTTTTTTAATTTTTTTTACTTTAGCATGTTTGTGCAATCCAAAATGTTTTCATAAAATATTAAATTACAAAGCTAAATTTTCAACCAACTTAATATTAAAAAAATAAAATAGATAGATAATTTTGAAAAAAATCATAAAAAATAAAAGGAAAAAAAATCAGGTAGGGAAACACTATAGCAATCTATAGTGTTTCACGAGGAAATATACAGTTATAAATTTCAATCAGCTCAATATTAAAAACAATAAAATTAATAAAGATAATTTTCAAAAAAATTGTAACAAAAAAAATTATATGGCGAAACACTTTAGCAATTAACAGTATTTAAAAAAAACTATAAAGCTAAATTTTCAACCAGCTCAGTATGAAAAAAATAAATTCGACAAAGATAATTTTGAAAAAAAATCGATAAAAAAACATGCAAGGAAACACTATAGTAAGAAAAAATCATGGAGGGAAATACTATAGCAATCCACAATGTTTTTTTTCAAGAAAAAAACTACAAAACTAAATTATCAACCAGCTCAATATGAAAAAAAAAACTAAAATTGACAGACAATTCTAGATAAAAAAACAAAGAAAAAAAAAAACCAAATGGAAAAACATTGTAGCAATCAACTGTGTTCTAAAAAAAAAATTATAAAGCTAAATTCTCAACGAGTTCAATATTAAAAAAATAAAATCGACAAAAACAATTTAAAAAAAATCACAAAAAAAAGAAAACAATTTTAGGGGAAAAAAACAAAAATAAAAATAAAAAATAAAGAAAACAAATGTGGGGAAAGCTAAAACTGAATTCTCAATCAGCTCAATATTAAAAAAAAATCAAGAAATAATTTTGAAAAAAAAACATGTGGAGAAATATTGTAGTAAAACAAAAACCATGTGGGGGAAATATTGTAGCAATTTACAATGTTTTTTTAATAAAAAAAACTACAAAGTTAAATCCTCTACCAGCTCAATATGAAAGGAAAAAAAAGACAAAAAGGACCTTTCGAGAAAAAAATCATAAAAAGAGAGAAAAAAATCATATAGAAAATAATTGACAGCTAAATGACAGCTAATTCATAGCAATTCATAATTTTTTTTTTTAAATGACAGCTAAATTCTCAACCAGATCAATATTAGAAAGAAATCAGCAAAAATAATTTTAAAAAAATATATAATTTAAAAAAAAAAACAGAAGTAAATCATGGGGGGGAAATGTAAAAGCAAAAAAAAAAAACAAAAAAAAAAATATTATTACAACGAAAATAAAAGGTGTGGGGAAAGCTAGAGTGCTTTCCCCATGCCTTTTAGAGTATTGTTAATAATTGACAGATACGGTTCACATGTAACTTAGAGCTAGATTATAAATAATTGTTGAAATCATAGTTGCTTATTGGATTTGAAGTTTGACCCTATTTCTTTTAAAGAAAAAGGACACCGTTGACCAGGTAAGCATGCCCTTTTAATTTTCCAAGTTCATATTATTTCTAATTGAGCAATAATAAGTGATAATTTTAAGAAAACTTCGTAAGGAAACTGAAAACTTGAATGAAATACCACTACATGTCAGGCCAGCATAATATAGACAAAAGAAAAGGCACTGCCTCGAGTTAATCTGCAGCACTCTGATCCTGAAAATTAAGATACCTCTGATTGGGTTTCTGTATTCACATGTTTATCGCATCGAACACCACGAAAGAACAAATCTCCACCATAAAATTGCTCACCCAAGCAAACATTCAAGGTAATTTCAGAATCATCAACATGGAAACCTACAAAGAAGGATTTAAGGCAATCAAATAAAAGCAAAGTGGAAAAAAGGGGAGGAGAAGGGGGGAAATTACTCTTTTGATGCTAGTGATTGAAAGCTTCTCAAAAGAAAAATAGTGATAGAGAGGCAAAGGCAAAACATTAACTAGCAGCTGAGAAACTGAAACCATTTTCAGGAAATAAATGACATCAACAATGATTCAAACAACCAAGTGTAAGCATTGATGTGAGATGTAGGTCCTATCCAACTAACAAGTACTAAGAATGTGGAAAAAAATTCATGCAGTGCTTTTGGAACATAAGAATCAAAACAGCGATGAGAAAAGGGCCAGGTCTTTGTAGCTTCTTTTAGTTCCATTCACTACTGAATGATAGGAGATGGATGTAACAGGCCGGACAAATTATTATTATTCATAGAGACAGATGGCATTATCAAAAGGAAGTTTTAAAGTAAGCACCTACCAAGCTCGATATCCCTATTCACTCCGTATTCAACAACAAAACCATGGTGAGAATCCAGAGTTAATCCACCCACCTCAGGAAAGAAAACTACATAGAAATAAGAGCACCAAAATAAGCTTTTGCTATATTTATAAATGCTAGTTGTGAGTTATAATTTATAAGCACAGAGCCTTATTGAATAGAGACACATCACCTCTAGACATGGGACATATATAGCCATCCATCAACTTGTTAAGCATGGTTTCCAGTCCAAAGTCATCAAGAACAACACCATATTTGTTCATAGTGTTCGGACAAATTATATGGAACCTTTGATCATGCACCCATCTTTCCATGCTTTCTACCTAAGCAATCAAAACGTTGCAAGAAAATGCAGACTAAGATACAAGAAAAAAACATGCTATTTACACACAAAAAAATGACAAGAAGAGTAAGATAAAACCTCAGCCATCAACATTTCACAGAACTTTGGCTGAAATATTTCAAATGTATAAACTCCTGGTGTAGGCTCCACCATTATGCGTCTGAAACTCTCTTCTGAGTTCTCACTGATTGCTTTGAGAAATGACGGAACAAAGAAATTCGCAGCATTCATAGTATACAGCTCCTTATGTCTAGGCTGTGAAAAGAATTTCAAATGGTTATAAACTGAAAGTAAAAAAAGGACTGGAAACTAATGTCAGAACATGAAAATTGAAACGGTTCCATGGAGATTAAGATCTCGTCTAATTTGGTAAATAATTTGCACTTGTCATTCAGTTTATAACCATCAGTGATTCAGCTGTGAGAGAATGGATGTAATGTCAGCTATTATGAAAGCATTTTCCGTTTTTAAAGAGAAGGGTAAGTGTCTACATAAACATTGACATTATAGGCAGTGGGAGAAACTTCTGCACTCAGATAGTGTTCCTGTTAATGAACACAGGTTTATACTAAAAAAGGAATGCTAGGAATGACAAAAATCATAAAATCAGTCTGATGTCGAAAAGACCATAGACAAACATAAAACCTGGTAAATAAGGATACATTAGATATGAGCATAAGACTTCTGAATTGAAAGAGAAAGGGGAAAAAAAACAGATGAGAGAAAATTGTATTGATAACTAAATAGAATTACAAAAGCAGAGCAAGTCATCCTCCCAAATACAAAAGGAAAAGAAATATCATAAAGGAGCAGCCCAATTCTTCTTATCAGCTAAAGGAACTCCCCTAAAAGCACCCGAAGCATAAGACCAAAGAAAAGGGAAAACTATCCTATCCCATGTGCAACAATTGTCTCAAAGTTTACTTCACAATAAAAATTTCATAAATGAAATGTACCTCATAGTTTGATAGAATCTGCTGTCTGTACTTTCGATGCTTTTGAACCTGCCAGTTTGCATCAGAAATCAGTGATAACAGTATGACCATTTAGAAAAGAAAAGGAACGGACATGATAAGACAAATAACTAGAACTAGATAGCTGCATCAAAATTTCTGGCAATGCATTGATTCTCACTGTACTGTTAGCAGTTCAGGATGTTGTGAACCTACATGGAAACAATCATGTCAAGTATCAATTAAAGATTGGTGAGAGAAGATTATCATCTCAACCTTTATTTTACACAATGTTTAAGTATTAGTATGCCCCCAAAAGATGGTTTCTCGTCAAAATAAAAATAAAAATCTCAAAGCTCAACTTCAACCACATCATGATGACTGTAAAATAGACAGACAAACAAGGTGACATCAAGAAAAATCTAGCAGCTTTGAGGTAGTGATTGATTTTCAAAGTGTTTTTCACTTGAAAATGCATCAATACAATGTTTTTGGTTTTTTTAAAAATTCATTTTTAACATCAGCATATCTAAACTATCATTAAAAAAACACTAAAAAAATTAATTTTAAGAGAAAAAATCATTTTTTTTGAAAAGCAAGCAAACAGGGTCTTAATCCAATTCTAACTCGTACTTGTAATAATCAACTCTGCGCATGAAGAAACGGATTATCTCCCAAATTACACAAATAATTTTCTGAAATTCAATTTTCAACATCATGGAAATAAAGAACACGCATTTCCATAGACTATTGGAGAGAGACGTGCCATTGAGAAACCGAGAAGGGCCACGAATATAGCAACATTTGTTTATGTTTCCCTAAATCACTTGTAGATAACGAATGAAATCTAAGTATACTTGTGTCAATAAATCCAATTTGTATAAATAATAAAAAAGTGAAGGAGGAGGCATACGCGAGTGTGTTCACCCTGAGGAGAGTAGCGAGTCAGAATGTCACTCAGGAAGTGGACTTTACGATCACGCGGCAAATTGAGCATGTTAGGTGGCAAGTACCGCTCTAGAGAGCTAAAGAGGAGAGGACTGTAATCCAATTGCATGTCCTCGTAGCTCTCCGGGTTGTGCTCCTTGTTCTCGAACGGTATCAGCCTTTGCGTTGACGGCAATTCGACGCCGTTCCCATTCTCCCTCGCTTTTTCAGTCGCGTCATCTGTAGACATTTTTCAAACAATAAATATATGCATATAAATCCGTTTTGAGAGAGGAATTAGGGTTTGTGGATGTTGAAGGGGGTGGTTTGTGCTGCAGGTTGCGGTTTGTATTTTTTTTGTTGGTTGTTGTGGTCGTCGTCTACCTCCTCCTCCTCCTCCTGGATGACGTTGACGATGGTTGGGGAATCAGTTCTGCCCGGGCCCACCTTCCAGTTTGGCCCGGAAACTTAAAAATGAAAGAATTTCGATCTGAGTGAGAAGGAACGAGCAAGTGCAGGTTTTGTTTGGGGTTTTGGATAGCGCTCCAGTAAAGACTGAGGGGCCCGATTGTGACTCTCAGTGGCGAAAAAATCACTTGGGAGTCCCTTCACAGTTACCGTTTAGTCAAATCAATACTTCCACGCATAATCTGATCGTGCTGGACCGTCTACTGTCACTGGTGAGTTATGTGATCGAACCTTGTGGGTGACTAGCTTGATAAACTTGACAATAATAGGTTATTTGTAAATATATCACTCTTTTAGGGTTGAAGTGGTACGTGACACTCTTCGAACTAACCTATTTTTTTAAATATAAAAATGATATCAAGACAATGTAAATATTATAGAAAGAAGAGAAAGAAAATGAGATCATGGTCATTAATTTGAAAGTGTTTAATAAGCTCTGCTCATTTAATAATATAATTAGAAAATAACATATTGATAATAAATAAAGTGAAAAATATAATAAAGATTTGATGTTAATATTATAAAACCATATCTTTATAATATTTATAAAATATCTTGGTAATCTTATTTATTAATAAAATAAAAAATAATTGAAAACAAGATAACTACATAAAAAGAAAAGGAAAAAAAATATTAATTCCAAATGAATAAAATAATAATAATAAAATTAAAAAAATAATTTTAAAAAATAATTACAGTTCGAGTCATCACATAAGTGAGTTATTAAAAAATAAATCAAAGGAACCAAGCAAGATAATTTTTTATCATTCAACTTGGATGAAAAATCAAATTAAATCTATAACCTAGTAGTGGGATTAAAATAACTCTATAAAAATCATACTTGATAAAATTATGAAGTTTAGCTTTCTTATTAGCCTAATATTAAAAGAAAAATGTTGAAAAAATATTAAAAAAATAAAAAGGGTTTAAGTCAGCCCCATTGAACCTGTTAAATTCATGACCGAAGTTATAATATTAAAATAACTTCATACACTAAAAAGTTTTTTTTAAAAAAAAATATTAATTTCCAATGAAATCAGTAATAAAATATTAAATTAAAAATGTTAATTTTTTAAAAAATAATGTCAAATTCCCGACCAACCAAAATAAACAAGGATAAATTTGAAATAAATTCAATAAAACAAGATCAAAAACATAAAATATAGATTTGAAAACAATTAAAATTAAATTTAACACAAAAATAAAATAAAAATATATCATAATAGATAAAATTACTATGGATTAAAGCATCAAGAGCAAGCATAAAAAAATAATAATCTAAAGTTCTCAGCTACCAAAATAACTAAGATAATCAAGAATGGATTTCGAAAAGGCAAATTTAACAAAAATAACTCTAAAAAATAAATCTAAAGATAATAATAATTAAATTGGATCAAAAAATAAAATAAGATAAAATTATAATAGATAAAATTAAAAAATAATTTTAATTAAAAAATATTAAAGATAACAATAAAAAAATATTAATTAAATATTAAATAATGAAATTAAAAAAAAAAACAGAGTTTATTTTACCGTGCAAATTCATGATAAAGTACGAATGTATAAATAGTGAAATGCCGGGCCCTCCTAATTGTTTTTTTTTTTTTTCCTTTGTAGTTGTGATGATATGTAAAGAGTTTAGCTTTGACCATACATCACAGGAAAAAGTATAGTAGATATTTTTATGGAATTTTCTTTCGAGCTAGTGTACCTTAGATTGATTGTCCATAAATTCCCTGAACACTCGATTTTAATCTTTACGGGCACCATAAAATTGAGAATTTTAGGCAATTTGTGGATTTGCTAGGGTTGCTCAACTTGGATTTTAAAGGGTTCTCTTTTACCTGGTATAATAGGCGGAGAGGGGGTGGTCATGTTCCAGAAAGGCTCGATAGGTATCTCAAATTCTTCCATTTTTTATACTATAATATATA